AGCAAGTCCTATGCCTAGAATCAATTTCCGGAGGTGGCCTTTAGGCCTACCCCTAATCACTCCTTAGTGTTCATGTCATTCATCCTTAAGTATCTCTTGAGACTACTTAAGGCATATCTATTCACAATCCTACCTCTTAGGATTTATTTCATCATTTATTTATATTAATTCCCCGACTAGTATTTTGATACTAATAGGATGACCTTAGAACATGCCAAGTTCCTATTTCCCATATTGCATTTCATTTCCATTGATTTCTCAACCCAAGTATAGTTTAATCTCAATATCAAAAATATCACTTTAATCCATTCATGAAGTTCATACATGAAGTAAAGGATATTTTATCACAATGTCATCTTAGTAATTCCATTAACATGTCATTCCATTCATTTCACATAATCATACACAATTATTCTAAATTTGTATGTCATGCTTCACTTACTCATATTCATATTATTTTCATTTAGACATTATTAATCCTTAATAGTCCATGAAAATCCCATCTAATTACTTTAGGCATTCTTATGAAATTAACTCACTAATTATAAGCAATATAGTCAGCCATCCTCACCTTATGAAGTGCTGAAATAGTTGCCTTTGCTAAGCCCCTCGATCAATCCCCGTTCTAGGCCGATTGGAGGTGTAAAACTGGTCTGCTGGGCAAAAGCCGGGCGGCTTTCACGAAAGCCGGGCGGCTTTCGTAGTCTGCAACTACGAACAGCTCCCTATATGTGGCGGTTTCCGGCGATTTCGACTCCTATCGATTCACCAACTCTTCTAAGTTAATTAACACCACTTTATAACAATATTCTACACTTTTAAACGTGTAGAACTCATGGTTTAATCCACCATATGATTTCTAAAAAATCATACAAGAATAAACTAGTTACAAGAATACTCATTGAGTTCTTACCTCAAACACTATACTTTTCTCTTTGGATTTCCTCTCCTCTTGCTTCCTTCAAGCTTGAGCTTTTTGAGAGGTGATGCCTAGAACTTCTCTCTTCCTTTGGGTTATCCGTATGGCTCAAATGAGGGGGGAGACACCTATCCTCAATCAAACACCAAGTTGAGGTGTTGATAGGGCCCTAAATGGGTGTGCATGTACCTCCAACCACTCCCTCAATCACAAGTCCGGATATGCCATCTTTGGATGTCCCCTTCCCATTAATTTGGGTCAATCAGCACCCATAAAAACGTGGGGTGGCCCCCACTTATGTGGGAGGTCATCCCATTACGTCCCGGTGTGTACAATCGGCCCCGAAAGTTGTATTTCTCGGCCCGTTTTAATCATATTTTATTTTATCGGACCAAATAAAATATATCACGTGTTCCCAATAATTATGGGCCTTTAGAATAGATGTACATTCCCCAACATTAATTTTGGAGCCTCCGAAACTCATTTCGGGCTGTTATCCGCTCAATTACCGATACCGGTAATTGGGCCCCGTTTGACCGACCGGTCAACTCCATGCCTTTCTTATGGCCCAAATAAAATATCCACCACCATATATATATTATCTAGACCAAGATGAATATAATATGTGGTTCAGGAATTATCGGGCGGTCCCCGTTCCCGCTGTGGGCCCCACATGCAATTTACTATTCACGTAAAAGAAATAATAAAAATTTATAATTACGCAAATTCATAAATCATCTTTCAAGGTTTATTACATAATTTACTAAAAGTAAATATGCTCGGGGTCGGTGTTACACCGAAGGCTGAGCAAATGATGAAACAGTCGCGCCGAAAGCCTGATGGAAGGATGAGGACTCCTGGGAGCGTAGGTAAATAACCCGCTGCTCTAGCTCAAGAAGATGTTTTCGTAGAGTTTCAAACGGGAAATTTTGAGGAAATAAGGACACAGTGGTAAATAAAGATTCATACTCAGGTCCCAGTCCCATAATAGTAGTCTTCAAAACTTCCCGGGAAGGCATAAGGCAATTGATCGTGGCAAGATCATCAACTAATATTTTAATTTCTCTTAAATAGTTATCCATGGACTGATCAAGTTTCTTTTTGATTTGATTAAATAAACGTTTTAAAAACATAGACCTGGCTAAACTGGCACACATAAACCGAGACTTTAACCGCTCCCAAATTTCACATGAAAGTTTTAAATCACGCACATCGATAAGAACATCCCTAGATAGGGTTGCAAATAACCATGAACGATTTTTTTGATCATTTCTCAACCAAGTGGAAAATTCGGGATTGGGAGCTTGACGGTTAAGAGCATCTATAGAATAAGCAGGGGGTACCTGAATGGAGCCATCAACCATGCCAAGTAGAGCTTGTGAAACCAGAAACGATTCGAATTGTGTCCTCTAAGTGGTGTAGTCTTCTACCGCCAAAAGTTTAGTAGTCACAATATTTGTGACATTGGTGGCCACATGAGATATGGTTTGAGCCAGATCAGAGAGAATGGATCCGGCCGGGCAGGCTGCTGGTGTGCGAGAGGGAGGAACAACGGAGGATACACCAGGTGAGCCGACGAACGTGGGGCCAGCAAAGGAAGGACTAATCGAGCGGGGTGGTAGCTCTAGAGGGACAACCTGCACGGGAATTTGAGCTGACCAAGGGAACACCGGTGGTACATTCTGAAACAAAGAGTATGGCATAGAGACCCGGCTTGGTGATGCAAAGTTGGAGGAGAACGTCACACCGGAAGAGACGAATGTGAGTGCCGGCAGCGATCCAAAAGATGTAGGAGCGCCGGCTATTATGACCGAAGTAGCCGCTGCAGGGGAGGCAGGCTGGGCAGTGGCTGCCGTCGTGCTGAAGGCTGCGGAAGCTGAGGACGAGATACTGCAGTGTTGTGCGACACCGAAGGGAAGAGGACGGCGGCAGTGTGGTGCAGCGCCGAAGGGAAGAAGACGGCGGCGGCGCTAGGGTTTAGTGAGAGAGGATCGGAAAAAAATTAATGTGCTCTTGATACCATGTGAGAATAATGGGAAAGTTTACTGTCTAAGAAGTCATGATAGATATATTTATATTAAAGAGAGTTTAATGTAAAGTACAATACTAAACTTCTGATAATTCTATTATTTTATACGGAGTATATATTTAGGACAATTTCTGAAACCCTTAATCCATCCACGATCCATCCCAAATTATTTGTAAAAACGGATTAATAGGTTCACGTACTCGATTTCTGGAGTAAAACATTACTGGTAACTAACTAGTGACGGACCCAGAAAAATGGAGTCACGGGGTCCCTACTCTAATGTACCTTTAATTTATAAAATGTTATAATTCTTTCATTTGTGTTCGAATTTTCCAAAAAAAGAAGGGAAAAGGGGTAAATAAGCCCTCGAACTAACTGAAAAAGTGCAAACCACCAATTTTATTGGAGGCTGTGTCCGGCCGTCGCCATTTGACGTGGTTCCCGGTGGATTTTTTTGATGAAATTTGTTGAGCAGAAGATTCTCAAAAAAATCATGAAAAAATGCCACGAGTAACCGTCCCAAATTGCGATGACCAGACGGAGCCTCCTATAAATGGGGTGATTTGCACTTTTTCGGTTAATTCGAGGGCTTATTTGCACATTTTTCCCAAAAAAAATATCAAACTACTAAAAAACGATTATAATATTTCATATGACACTAATATCGCATATGTAAAATTTTGTTTTTTTTTAAATTTTGGTATGACCTAATTTATCCTGAGCTGGTTAACGTCTAGTGAGTGTATATTTTACTACTACGTATTATCTAAATTTGATCTGATTTGACCTAATCTATTAAAATCTAAACTAATGGAGTATGTTCTACTTTATTTATTTTTTGTCTAGCCTTTTTCCAAAATCAGTCCAATTAAAAATATTCTAACCGTCTTTCACATTTTATAGATATGAATATATGAGTTTAATCAGAAATTAACATAGTGTTGATAGAGTTTGAAATGATTGGCCCCTCCACCATTAGAATAAATCAAAGAAAAATAAAAGTTGAAAACAACTAGTGTACTAGTACGTACTACATTTCTGAATAAACAACTATTTATAGATATGAATATTAAAGACATACTTAATCAAATAAATAACCAATCTGGAAAGTCACACAAAATATAAAAAAACAATAGTGTTTTGAGCTTCGAATATATCAACCAATAAAATTCTCACGACTTTTGCTATAACTATTCAATTCGATGAAGAAGTATAAACTAATTTATAGTTTATAGGGAAAAGTAAATATATTCAATATTATGTGACATATATATCTTGGATGTGAAACATTGAAGAATATTACTTATAACATAATATTTATATTATTCAGTTATTGTGTTTCATGATAATTAGACCTTTTTAAAATGCTATTTTTTTTACAGCATTTATAATGTATATAATACAAATGTAATTATTTATAACAATGGTTTAATGATAAGTAGGATTTTTGCTGGGTTGCTTTGATAAACAAACAAGCATGAGGAGCAAAAAAATTGAGTCATCGAGTAGATTCGACCCTTGGACCTTCAGATTAAAGGAACACTATGTGGAAACTTTCTATCACTACCCTTAGCCGCTCCATTGGTATCATTGTAGTATTTGGTATATCTATACATTATTGAGTCAGTTGTGAATGAAATATATACGAAGTATAATATATATAGGTATTTTTTTGGAAGGACACGGGGTCGCGGGACCCCGTGGGACCCTTAGTGGGTCCACCACTGCCGGTAAGTCATTACTGCTTACTTTTTCCACATTAATTAGTGTCATTAAAATTCATATACTTGAAAAATAGACTAAAGTTTATTGAGTTCAAAAGAGAATTCGATCCTGATCAAGAAAAGCTAGTAAAATTTCAAATGAAACCATTTTAGGACAGGGAGAATGAAGAACAATTTTCAAATAGACAAAAGAATAGTGAGCATAATTTGTACCATCTTCATTTGAGTTTTTTTGGTTAGACATTGTAGGAATGAAAAATCCAAGCGAAGGGAGAAAGGCTCACATCATACGTGTAGAAAGAGGAGTTTTGCATTTTTGCCTAAATAACTAACTCCCTATAAAATGGTTAGCCTCCCCCTTACACGTACGTACTCCTCCAAAAATAACAAAATGATCGATCATCTCCTTCTCATGTTGCCACCTTTTCTTCTCTCTTCCGTCGCCTTCTCTTCACCGTCGCCGTCCTCCTTCCCGCCGGTGGTCGACGTCAACGGCGACGTGCTCATGCTTGGAAAGCCGTACTATGCATTCTCCGGGGGCACTTTCCTACACCCGCTCGGCTTATGCCTACCCTACAACACCAACGGATACGCGGCTGCCAGGAACGACGTCGTCCAGTGCCCCTTCTTCAAGGAAGACTCGCGTGGATTCCCGATCACTTTCTCGCCGGTAAAAGACGACGACGACGACGATGGAGACGAAAAAAGCCGTGTGGTCCGGGAGAACACGTTTTACAGGGTCCAGTTTTCCATCGCCGGAAAAGACTCCGGCGACGGAGAAAAAGAGGACTGGGCCTCGAAGAAGAAACGAAGACGTTTCAAGCCCGCTTGGTACTTAAAGAGCGGAGAATCTCCACACCAGATGTTCGTGGCAGCAGGCCCAAAGTCTATATCGGCCCAATTCGCGATCAAGAGAGTGAGGCTCGGTTACAAGATTGTTTACTGCGTTGAAAGTCAATCATCGGGTCGGTTTCCTACTTGCTATTGGGCCGGGTTCATAAAGAATAATGGGTATAACCACCTTGGTATCGGGCTGGGGGCTTTCCCGGTCCAGTTTTTCTTCAAGAAGGAGAATGACACCTGTTTTAAAGATAAACCATGCACGTAGTCTGTAAAATACTACCACTACTACCACCCAGGGAGTCCTAGAGTAAATAAAAATTACTAATTGATCTGTTAATCTACACTAATTATCATGTGTGTCTTAGTGTTTATAATTGTATGTTTGATTAAATAAAAAGTAGCAAAAATGACTAGATTATATGATAATCTTTGCATTACTGTGTATTATTTTTGGTTTGTGATTGAAGCTTAAGTATTTTTTTCTCAGAAAAACAATTTTCGGGCATTAGGTAGTTGGGATTTACTTCAAAAGAAAACTACTGCAGAACTTACTGAGACATATTATTAATATAATAGAAATGTCTCAAATATAAGACCAAAATATAAACAGAGTTAAAAAAATTAGACTAAATATGTTTTATTTTTTAAATATGACTTATTTAGTTCGACTAAACGAATAAGTTAGATCAGAATACAATTTTCCAAAATAAGAGTTAATGAATTCTATTTTGGGACTAACATATTCATAGTCCTATCAATAGCTTTATACTTCTTTTAATCTTATTTAATTAGAGAATTTTCAACTTTTGAGTTTATGCATATAAAATGAATTGTGATAATGTTATTATTTATTTATTTATATATATATATTTATTTATTTATTTATTTATTTATTTATTTATTATAAGTTAACCAATCATTCCGAATGGATGGGTTTATGGGTGTCTCAACAATATAATGAACAATCAGACAAAGGAATCATGGCAAAAACGATGTCTTAGTATTAAGTATAAAATTAGGGAAACAAAAATAGGGCAAGAACGGTGTCTTATTCTTGGTGTGAACCGATCCATACGTATGCCTAATCTTAGGGTTATGAGTCTAAAAAATAGAGTATTGTTTAATGAATTAATAAATTTTGTGACATTAATGATTAATATTAACATGTGTTGCGTACACCTTCTAAGTAAACTATTTAAGTACGTATATACGTAGTATACAAAGCAAAAGGAATAGTAGTAGTCTTTTATACTTTCGAGTTTCAAAGGATCTTTTATGGATTGGTGTGCGTGTTTAGAGATTAATCAAGCAATATCAAAGCAAAAGGAATAGCATGCAAGAAATGATTACAGAAGAACTAGAGGAAAATATAAACTACTCCCTCTGTCCCATTGGCCTTGTCAATTTTTCCTTTTTAGTTGTCCGAAAAAACTTTGTCACTTTGATATTAAAGCAACTAATTTATGGTTCTGCATATTTCTCTCTCCTTTGCACAAATATCAATCACACAGTTTTTACAATTTTTATTTCTCACTTACTTTGCACTTCACAAAGTCTACCGGGACAGAGATACTATATACAATTTTGACAATCTTTTGCAATGAAATAAACGTGAGTATTTATATTACAAAGTGCTCCGTACTACATAAAATGAGGATGATATGTCGAGGTGTGAGTGGATAACCCGATCATAAAATGCTTCATATATATACGTATAGCATCAAATGTGTGCTTCTCGCCCTTTCTAGGCATCCCGCTAACCGCTAAGGGAGGTAGTAAGACAACATAAAAGCTCTAAGGACACATTTACTTCACGGGTTAGTAAACAGTGCTTATTAAGACTCGCGTTAATAAGCGGCGCATAAAATAAGCAGTCTTGTAAGCTCATGTTTATTTCAAAGGATTTAAAACACTTTTTAACATTAAAATGTCCAAAATAACCCTATAGATATATACACACACACACATTCATGAACACAAGTATATAATATATTATGTGGGGTCACCTCGTACGCTTAGTCGCTTACCCACACCCTTAACCCCTAGCCCGCTCTGTACCCCCACCCCTCACCCTACCCAATTCCACACCCTTGACCCCACCCCTTTCTTATCCCTACCCTTACCATGACCTTATCCTCCACCCCTACACCCACCCATACCAACCCCCACACTAATCGTAAGGGTTGGGTCGAGGTGGGGGCACACTACAAGAAATTAGGTCTTTTGTGTCGACAAAAAGTCGACGCAAAAGAGCCAAAGTCGACGCAAATACGTTTTTTGCGTCAACATGTCGACGCAAATACCGCGACGCGAATAATGTTTTTACGTCCACAACGTGTGACGCAATTAATAAAGTATTATTCGCGTCGACATATGGACGAAATAGATCTTCCGAAAGTAATCATGCATAAAGTCGACGCAAAAAGTGATAGTTTATTTGTGTCCACATGTCGACGCAAATAATGTCATCATTAGCGTCCACTAGCCGACGCCAAAACCGTGCAGTCTTTTTTTTTTAAATATATTATTTGCATCGACATGTTGACACAAATAACACTATACACCCATTTTAGAATAACACATTGTCTATTGCTATTCATACACAACTTGTATTAATAACCAATATTATCAAAATCTATTCAAACGCCAATAATGTCAACCACACATAAATTCATTAAACGTCATAGTAAAAGTTAGTTATCCTACAACGAAGTTTCATTAATTCATTACAAACAACATCACAAAATGCAAACATAAACAAATCCATATTCATCTTAACCAAGTAAATGCACATTCAACTCGATATTATCAATCTTGATCATCTTCATTGAGACTCTGATCAGTTTGGTTAGCACTTGATGTTCAATGAACATCATTTGCAGAGCTGCGTGGAGGACGTTGAAAGCCAGGAATAAATTGTTGTAGGGCATGGAGCATGAACTCCTGATTTGCCTGCATCAACTCCTGTTTGTCCTAGCTGTGTCTAGTACTCCTTGCTCATTTGAGTCTATCAAATTACAATTAATACAGTTACATATCATTATGATTACAATTAACAAAAACCTTTTAATATACTTACATATTTTTCATGTGCTTCTTTAGTTCTCCATTCACCACTACGAGCCAAACGTCGATCTTTCCAATTTTCAAGAGTTGAGTACTGCTCACCAGTTTCCAGATCACCCCGTTTAATATTCATTATAATTGTCAATATCCAAAATAACATGAATGGTTAATAACTAACATTAACATGACATTAGAAGCTTGAAATTTTAACATCTGGTCGATCAGTAATCAAAATATTCTTCCTCTACATCAGCCAACAAACCATTGCACAAAATCTCAAATGCGCTTCAAAGTAAGAAGTTCAATTTGGGACGTAGGAGTATTACTTTATATCAACATCAAAATATAATTCTACTATTACACAAGTCACAATATTAGAAAACTCTAGTTCTTACCTAAACTTAATCAGCTGGATAGATTGGAAAATTGAACCTAAAATAAGTCATGCAATCAAAACACACCAACAAATGACACAAATGCAGACAGTAAGATGCATACACTATAGGAACCTACCAATATATTTCATTTAATATACCTAGGTACATCAAGCCTGCAGACCATATGAGTCGAAATTCCATGAACAGAACCATTATTCACATAACACCCAGGATTGACCAGTCTGTAAAGTGCTATTTTCACCTCCAACTAGGTCCCTTAATGCAATCTCTATTATTCGACATCTCTCACTGCTAAAATCAGTGGTCTCAATATTCACATTTGAGATAGAGGAGAACAACTACGTGCATTCAGATTTAAGAAGTATGTAAATTAAGATCATCCTATCTAATGTAGTACGGATTTAAAAAAAAAGATGTACTTGGTAAATTTAGGACCATTTTTTTTGCTTCGAAACCAAGTGTTAGTAGGTAATACTCTAAAGACTTTGCCCTGACCTAAATTAATTTAGGACCAATTTAGTACATTGAACAAGAATACTATAAACACATTTAAAAACTGTCAAACTCATCCACTTAGCCCTGACCTGAATTAATTACCTTCACAACAACATTTGGATGCAACTAGCATATAAGTTGAACCAGACACGATGAACAAAACTTAGGTGCTGGTGTTTTCACCATTTGTTTGGCTTACTTATATTCTAAGTTAACCCAAATCAAATTGATTAAGGAGCACTCTAGAACACATGGCATACCTATTATAAAATGTTGGGATAATTTTAGATCATTATCATTCCATAATAGATAATAAACGAATTTAGTAATATCATTCATTCATAGCTGAACATCTATTTACTGAAGCAATTGCTTTTAAAAAAATTAACCTTAGGTTTTATTTATTATTTTCGAAATTTCTTTAAAGCACCGATGGAGGGCTAACTGAAGCCTTTATAAAGCTTCCGAAATTTCTGAAACAAAGGCTTTATGCAAGGGCTTTATCATTGTTGGAAGCTTTTGAAACAAGGGCTTTATGCAAATTAATTTCTGAAATTGAGAGGTTACCTTGAAATCGTTGAAAGAGCAAGAGCCAACTGAAGAGGTGAGAGATGCTGTGATGTGTAGGTGGAGCTCCTAACAGGCTGTGGACTCTAACCCTAAAAGGCTAAAAATCTAAAAGTAATAATACAATAAATTAACAATAACACACTATAATTATAATACATTAAAAATCTATAAAAGTAATAATTAATAAAACTTACCCAAAGGAGAGAAGAGAGCAGGAGGCGCGGACGACAGGAGTGGACAGGACGACCGCAGGAGACAGAGCACAGAGCAAAACGGCAGAACAACCGTCCGCCGCCGATGCAGGGCCCTGGAGGCTGGACGGCGACGTGGATGGCTGAAGGAGGGTTCACGCTTGCCGCTTGAGCGCTTCAGCTTCTTCCACTTCGATTTTTCTTCTTCGCGCACTTCGAGCTTCAGCTTCTTTCGATTTTTCTTCTTCGCGTATGCGTTATGCGTATTTAGGTCAGTTGAATAAGGGTGGGCTAATGGGATGGGCTGTAGGCTGGGCTGGGAATTAAACTCTTGACCATTTCTACATTTCGTTTTTTGCGTCGACATCCGTCGACACAAATATAATCAAACTCTTTTAGCATGGACAAGGCGACGCAAATAATGAAATTGTACAAGGCCTTGCGGACGGTTTTGGTTAATGTCATTTGCGTCCACTTGTCGACGCAAAAGAGTAGTTATTTGCGTTCACTTTAGTCGACACAAAAAAGTTTGACGCAAATTATACTTTTTCTTGTAGTGGCAGGTGATATGGGGTAAAGGGGTAGGGGGTAAGGGGTACGGTCGGGTCAAGGGTGGGGTGGGGTCGGAGGGTCAGGGTTGGGGTCGGGGTAAGGTAGGGTAGGGCGGGGTAGTGGGGTAGCAATAGGGTAAGGGCAAGAGGTAAAGGTAAGGGTAAATTCGGA